GAGAGAGAGAGAGTATATGTATTTTTTTTTTTTTTTTTTTTATATATATATATATATATATATATATAAAATTTATTTAAAACAGAAAAAATAGAAAATACTAACATTATAGAAAAGTCTAACATTATAAATGTCTTTACTGTCATTTTTGATAAATTTAATATATCCTTGCTGAATACAACTATTCATTCTTTAAAAAATGTGCAACCTAAACCTAGAATATAATATGAAGGATATCATAGAGACATATGGTTTTGGGCTCATTTGATGCAATCTTTTTCTGTCTTGTTTCTCAGTTGCTCCCTCCATCCCTTGTTCTCTGACGGTTAGCTGGAGCAGAGATGGTGTGGGAATATTCTCCGTTCTTCTCTCTGGAGGAAAACCCACGGCTGAAGTTCTCTGGGCTGCTGGTGGCACGACCGTCTCCAAGCTTTTGTCAAAAGAGAGAGAGAGAGAAAACAGCGAGGGGAAACCAGAGCTCAAGAGCGTTTGTGTTCTGGTGAGATCTACAGGACGACAGGAAAGTGACAGTCGCAGAGGAGGACATGCACGCAGTACGTATGCCAATATGATGGTGAGCAGACTGAATGTTTCTCAATAGCATCAATAAGAAAAGCAACCATTTGGCTTATTCTACAGGAATCAGGCCGCCTAGTGTGGACTGCAATGCCGAATGTGAAAAGATGAATAAATGTGCGGATGGAATGAAATCCGTACTAGAGGACAAACAGCTGAATGATCATATGGAGGAGAATGATGAGGATGAGGATGTGGATCCATCCTATATAAACACTGTGAGATTGAGGAAAGAGAAGAAAGAGTGTCTGAGAGTTACTGTGGAAATTACCCATCCTGCACTGAGATTCCCTGCGTATCTTACCTGGACAGGTAAATAATGTGTTGTTGAGATACAAGATGCTGTGCATGTGTAAAATTAGTAATTCAATGGATACAGTCAAACTAAATAATATTACTATTCAAAATCCAGTATAAATACTAAATACACTGAAAAAAATGTGGTGTAGAAACAAACTGATAGTACATTTCGCAAATAAAACGGCAAGTAAATCATTGAATTAAACATGAAATTTGAAAACAGAAAGACTTAAAGGGTTAGTTCACCCAAAAATTAAAATTAGGCTGCATTTTACTCACCCCCGATGCATCCTAGGTGTATTTGACTTTCTTCTTTCAGACGAATCCAGTCGGAGTTATATTAAAAATTGTCTTTGATCTTTCAAGCTCTATCGTTGCACTCAGCGGGTGTTGCATTGCTTCTGTCCAAAAGGCGTGAAATAAAAAGCACCTTTCCATAAAAAAAAGTGTCTCACATGACTCCGGGGGGTGAACAAAGGCCTCCTGTAGCGAATCGATGCGTTTTTGTAAGAAAAATATCCATATTCAAAACCTAATGATCACTTGAATCTAGCTTGCGCTCACTGTTGTAAAACGGAAGCAGTTCCAGGGGAATTACTTTGCAACTTTCGCCGACCTCATACGTCATGCTCACGGAGCTGCTTCTGTATACAACAGTGAGCGCAAGCTAGATTCAAGTGATCATTAGGTTTTGAATATGGATATTTTTCTTACAAAAACGCATCGATTCGCTACAGGAGGCCTTTGTTCACCCCCCGGAGTCATGTGAGACACTTTTTTTATGGAAAGGTGTTTTTATTTCACGTCTTTTGAACTGAAGGAATGCAACACCCGCTGAGTGCAACGATAGAGCTTGAAAGATCAAAGACTATTTTTTATATAACTCCGACTGGATTTGTCTGAAAGAAGAAAGTCATATACACCTAGGATGCATCGGGGGTGAGTAAAACACAGCCTATTTTCACTTTTGGGTGAACTAACCCTTTAAATTGTATTTCCTTGTAAGACATACTCTAATGACTGTTTTAAAAACATTTAAAGTGTTTATTTCCCTCTTAAAAATATAATATTGTTGACAAATATGTTTATAATTATGTACACTCACATGAGATTAGACTACAATAAGTGACCTAGATTAGAAGATGAAGTTTACATCTCACTTGTGTTTTGCAGAGCCTGCAGAGGAAGCGTCATCATGATGACTCGCAGTTATTTAGAAATCTACATCTTTTCTTGACACCACCTCCACCTCCACCCCTACCTATGAGCTCATGAAACTTTATACTGAAGTTTTGCTGTTGTATTCTTTTTTCTTAAAAAATCAAATGTTTTCTTTTACTACTAATATGATGCATGAAACACAATATTAGGTATTCACTTCACTCTGAATTATCTGCCATCAATTTTAATTAAATAAACTCTTTAAAATAAAGCTGTAATGTTTTTTTGTTTTTTTTACCGAGTATGTGAGAAAGTCAGAAAGAACGCACCACAGTGACTAATTTTGTCCACGTACTAAGCTGACTTAGATACACGGCAAACCACAACACTTGTGCATATTCAGACGTGCACATTAGTCTTATTATTATTATTGCGCCTACACTTAAAATGCTTTAGTTTTCTATCATAATCAAACAATGCCATTACTATCTCATTTCATAATCAGCTACGCTTTAAAGCTGATATGGTGAAATATCTTGAGGGAAGTTAAAGGTGCTGCACACTCTAGTTGCACAGAAGTAACTGTTGCAGCAGAAAACTATGGCTGTATTTCAAAACCTAGTGAGATTTCTTTCCAGACAGCAGATTTTCTCGCACTGTGACTGAAAAAAAAAAGCATAAATACGAAAAAATGGCAGTTTCACTCATGATGTCCAATAATGCTGCAGGCGACTGAGACACTGCACGCGCAACAGTGCTGCACGCGCATGACCAATGCCGCCTTTTTAGATTGTTCACTAGGTTTTGACACACAGCCAGTGTGATTTAGAGAAGTGTACTCCGAAATGATGTGTGGTTGAACATGACAGGCCCGATGACTCTTATGCTTTCCTCACCACAAACCAACTCCGTGCGAGAGTTTGTGCTTGTGCGTTGGCTGGTGTCAATGCTGCTTCACACAGCGCATCTTCCTCATTAAAACACCGGACATATGAGCACAAGGAACTTGACAAATGCGACCTCCATCACTCAGTAACAATATAACTTCCCGTAAAGGACTCAACTTATAAAAAGGAGACGTGCTTGTTATGGTCTGAATGGGGATGTTGTGAAAAAACCGCCTGGACGTCGCCACCAAAACTTCGAGGGAGCCTCATTAATCTGTCAGCAATTCATCATTTTTTAAATTTAATCGGCTATGGATCCACCTGAAAGCTCAGGGAACCGCATTGGTCGCACTATTTGGACCGTTTGGGTGAGTAAATGCTGCTCTTTTGCAACAGTGACTTTCACTGATTAAGTTGTGATAATGATTAGTCTGTATGTATAATACCAGTCATATTGTATTGCTTGTCTAGTCCTCATATGATCTTTGTCTCTTGATTAGTAGACTAATGTAAGGCTCACTGACTCCTGTTTCAATGTTTTGCTCGTATAGGGTTATCTGTCAGGGGCTGTTGCAAGATATCTCAGACCGGAAGTCACAGATGAAGGAAACCAAAGTGTTCATACCAGAACAGAAGATATTGACTTGAAAAGTGCAGTAAACAAGATTAACAAAGAAGTAACGGCAAATAATTTCACCAATGAAGGGAAGAAAACTAATCAATTTGACAGTGCAGAGGTCAAGTGTTCCCCAACTAATGTCAGAGTGCAAGTGTCTTCTGTGCCGTGGGAAAACACTGATGTGGTCAAGGATGACAGTAATGATGAACTTCATGTTCACACCACAAAAAAACAAGCTTACCATTGTGCAGTGTGGTCCACTGGGACTGATACAGACAACGAAGGACGCATGGTTGGCGCATGTGTTGAGAAAGAAGCAGTTTCATCCGATGAGGTTCAGGCGGAAAAAGTATATGCAAACAATGAGTGTAAGGAGAGTGAAACTGCACACGAGTTGGAAGAAACTGGTAAGACTGAACAAAAATATGGTGACAATGAAGATAAAGAAGAGCGTGATCAGAATCATGACGATGAAAAGTGTGCAAAGAAGAGAGAAGATGCATATAAGACAGACGTAATGGTCCAATTTGAGCAAGATGTAGAACAGGAAAAGCAGATAAACATGGCGGACCATGGAGAGACAGAAGGCATTGCAGGTTTTAAACATGCAGATGAACATCTAATTGAAGAAAAGGAGAACGATTTAGACCAGAAGGATCAGGAGAAAACTGAGAATGATGAAGAACAAGGACTTGAATCACAAGTTCAAGATTTGCGGAAGAGTGAAGATCCAGATAACGCGGACGTTATGGTCCAATGTGAGCTTTATGGACAAGATGTAGAACAAGACAAACTGATAAACATGATGGATCATGGAGAGACAGGAGGCATTGGAGGTTTTAAACATTCAGATGAACATCCTATTGATGAAAAGGAGAAACAAATTGTTGACCAGATGGACCGGGAGATGACTGAGAATGATGAAGAACAAGGAACTGAATCACAAGTGCAAGATTTGCTGCCACAGCTGGAATATTTTAAAAAATATTCTGATGAAATTGCTTACGTCTCTAAAAACGAGGTTGAGGAGATGATGCCTGAAACTAGAAGTGCGACTGAGCAGGATAAGGAGAATGAAACTGTACAGGACTTGGAAGAAATTGGGCAGCTTAAACGAAACGATGGTGACAATGAAGATAAAGAAGATTGTGATCAGAATCATGAGGATGAAAAGTGTGCAATGAAGAGTGAAGATCTGGATAACGCAGACGTAATGGTCCAATCTGAGCTTTATGGACAAGATGTAGAACAAGACAAACTGATAAACATGATGGATCATGGAGAGATGGGAGGCATTGGAGGATTTAAACATGCAGATGAACATCTTATTGATGACATGGAGGAACAAATTGTTGACCAGAAGGATCAGGGGGAAATTGAGAATGATGAAGACCAAGGAACTGAATCACAAGTGCAAGATTTGCTGCCACAGCTGGAATATTTTAAAAAATATTCTGATGAAATTGCTTACGTCTCTAAAAACGAGGTTGAGGAGATGATGCCTGAAACTAGAAGTGCGACTGAGCAGGATAAGGAGAATGAAACTGTACAGGACTTGGAAGAAATTGGGCAGCTTAAACGAAACGATGGTGACAATGAAGATAAAGAAGATTGTGATCAGAATCATGAGGATGAAAAGTGTGCAATGAAGAGTGAAGATCTGGATAACGCAGACGTAATGGTCCAATCTGAGCTTTATGGACAAGATGTAGAACAAGAAATGCAGATAAGCATGATGGACCATGCAGAGAAAGAAGGCACTGGAGGTTTTAAACATTCAGATGAACATCCTCTTGATGAAAAGGAGAAACAAATTGTTGACCAGATGGACCGGGAGATGACTGAGAATGATGAAGAACAAGGAACTGAATCACAAGTGCAAGATTTGCTGCCACAGCTGGAATATTTTAAAAAATATTCTGATGAAATTGCTTACGTCTCTAAAAACGAGGTTGAGGAGATGATGCCTGAAACTAGAGGTGCGACTGAGCAGGATAAGGAGAATGAAACTGTACAGAACTTGGAAGAAATTTGGCAGCTTAAACGAAACGATGGTGACAATGAAGATAAAGAAGAATGCGATCAGAATCATGAGGATGAAAAGTGTGCAATGAAGAGTGAAGATCTGGATAACGCAGACGTAATGGTCCAATCTGAGCTTTATGGACAAGATGTAGAACAAGAAATGCAGATAAGCATGATGGACCATGCAGAGCATCCTATTGATGAAAAGGAGAAAAAAATTGTTGACCAGATGGACCAGGAGATGACTGAGAATGATGAAGAACAAGGAACTGAATCACAAGTGCAAGATTTGCTGCCACAGCGGGAATATTTTACAGAGGAAGCAGATGACCTTGCAAAGCCTGAAAGGCTGAAAGTAATGGAAAAATATTCTTATGACATTGATGAATTCTCTAAAAAAGGGGTTGAGGAGGTAATGCATGAAACTGAGCAGGATGAAGACACCACAGAAAGTGAACAAGACACGACTAAATATGAGCTAATGGAGTCAGTAGAAACCCTGCAGAGAGTTTCCGAAGAACTATCTGAAAAAAAAGTACCAAATGTTGAACTGAAAATGACCACAGTAGTGGATGAGTTTTTCGAAACCGTTGATACATTAGAAGACACCCTGCTGTCGGATTCAAAACAGGATACTTCAGAAAATACTCCTGTAACAGGAACTGGGTCACCTGTTGTGGCCATGAAAACTGAAGGCATGTTTTCAGATCTAATTGTTTGCGAGTTCCCTGGAGAATTGAGGAAAGGGCCAGAGACTGCATTGGCGGAGACTGATTTGGGATGTTTTGAGGAGATCAAAACTAACCTACATAATCCCCAAACTCTTGCAGAAGAGCAAGCAGAAAGGGAAGCTGTGATCACATGCTCTGTTGAGCACTCTGAGACCCTGAAAGCAGTTGATGAAGCAGTTGAGACTGAACAAGACATTGAAACTTTAGGTACAACAGAAAGTCAGGCACATCAGGAAATAGATAAAACCGAGTTCTCACTCAAAGAACATGTTGATTTAAGAACTGAACTGATGGAAGAAACAACTGAAACAAAGATCAGTTCAAAAGATGAGGAAGCAGAGCCCTCCGAGAAAGAAAATCAATCATCAGTCATCAGAAATGTCACTTTACAGTCACATGAGCTTCTTGAGTTCACAGAAGGAGAATGCAAATCATCTCTAGGAACAATGGACACTTTCAATGAATCACTAGGAAATTCAAGTATGTCTGAAATCGAGATTAAACATGTTGCAGAGGAGCAAACAGATGTGAAACCTGTATTAACAAGGTCTTTGAGTCCAGCAGAGTTTCTGGAGGAAACTCTACATCTGCAGGGTGAATCAGAGCGATGCGCTGAAGAGCAGGAGATCCTGGAGACTGCTTTAGAGTATGTAGAAGGAATAACAAATCAAGTCTTGAAGGAAATGATAGAAACAGAAATTAACTTCGTACAAGAAACAGAACCTTTGGCAGGACCTTCAACAGAAGAACCTGGCGATGCAGAATATCAAAGACCTGCACAATGTGTGTCAGCTGATGCTTTTGTCCTGGAAGAAGAAGGGAAGTTATTGGGTGAGACAATGGACAGTAAGGTAGAAATGGAGGTGGAAACCACAAGTAGTGACGTTCTTAAACAAACCGAGCAACATATTAGTTCACCAGAGTGTGAAACTACTGAAGCTGATGGACGTCGTGATCAGATACAGAAGGTCATTGCTGGAGAAACAGAGTTGAGTAGTCATGAAGACTTAATGGAAGTCAGCAGATCTGGGATGAAAAGAGGATTTGATTCAGTGAGCAAAGACCTTCCAGAGGTGAAGACAGAAGGCAAATTATATTTGTATCTACAGGTAATATAGAATATTTTGTTGAGTAAAAGCTCCACGAATATAGAAATTAAATGTCATCCTACTAAGAAGTTAAAAGGGTTAGTTCACCCAAAAATGAAAATTCAAACCCGTAAGACCTTCGTTCATCTTCGGAACACAACTTGAGATATTTTTGATGAAATCTGAGGGCTCTCTGACCCTCCCATAGACAGCAAGGTAACTACCACGTTCAAGGTCCAGAAAAGTACCAAGATGATCGACAAAGTAGTCCGTGTGACATCAGTGGTTCAACTGTAAACTTACGAAGCTACGAGAATACTTTTTTGTGCAAAGAAAACAAACGCTGCCACACGCTCGCGCCATGGTACTGTCGTGAACGCGCGTCCACGAGTGTAGTGTTATTTTTGTTTTCTTTGCGCAAAAAAGTATTCTCGTAGCTTCGTAAGTTTACAGTTGAACCACTGATGTCACACGGACTACTTTGTCGATCATCTTGGTACTTTTCTGGACCTTGAACGTGGTAGTTACCTTGCTGTCTATGGGAGGGTTATAAAATATCTTAAATTGTGTTCCGAAGATGAACGAAGGTCTTACGGGTTTGAAACGACACGAGGGTGACGTTTTCATTTTTGGGTGAACTAACCCTTTAAACTTGACTATTTATCTTTAGGCATTTGAGGAATCATCTTTGGACTTTACCGTTCAGAAGTCTCGAATTGCTGTGAAGAATCCCCTAGTTCGGCCTCCCAAAGACCCCAGAAGGCTCCTCTTCAAGGCCTCGGTCGAACCTCTTGTCCCACAGCCTTCACCATGTAGTCAGAAGGTTGAAGTCTCTCTTCCAAATAAAGGGGTAACTGGATTTAAACTTCCAGGTATTTACCAAAATAAAATCTCAATGAAAAGTACATTAACATTTTATTAGTACTTTAAATCGGTCCATTATTTGTTTTTTCCTTGGTCATTTTTCAGGACTGGGTGCAGCGCTGCCAGTATTGAGAAAAACTGAGTTTGGGAAGAAAGCAAGAGAAGGAGGAGCAGCAGAGAGAACACTGCAACCACAGGTACACAACAGATATGGACACACAAACAGTTTGAGTCTAAAAAATGATGGTACTGCGTAATCCAAGCACAATATTACACTCAATAAATATTTTTAATCCTAAATTTAAGATTTGTGTATTTTAATTGCTTATAAAATTTTCATCCGTTTGGATTACACGGTTTTAACGTAAACAAACTAATAAAACATTTTTTACTAAAAATTGTTTTATTTGATTTAAATAATTATATGTTCAAATTGCAGCTCTTCAAATTGCTTAGAATCAACATAAATCTGTTAATTGCAAAAATAAATGTTGTTAGCTGTGGAACAAGCGATATTCAAGTTAAAGTTAATTAAAGTTCAAATGAATGAGATTGAAAGAAATTGGATTTATTGATAAATATATAAACCTGCTTGTTGTGTATTTTAAACACATTCAGCTTATTAGTACTGTGACAAAAATCTTAACTGGTCCTTTCCTGTTTTGATTTATGTATGCATGACAAATATGCATCAAATTTTATTTTTATTAGTTTATGTTGAAACTGTAAAACTGTAATACAAACGGCTGACAATTTTATTTAAAAAAAATGTGTATGTATCAAAGTATATGTCAGTTATTTGATGTGTAGATGTGTAGTGATACAACTGTTTTTCACAGCAAAAGTCAGTTGCAGTAACAGAGGATTCTGTCAAACAAGAGCAAGTGCCAGCTAAACCCAAATGGACACCGCCAAGGCATCCTGGGTATGGCCTGTTATATCAATCTGAATTATTAATTTCATTTGATGTTGTTTCACAAATAACTAACTTCTTTCCTTATTTTGTTTGTGCAGTATGGGGAGTCCCTTCATGATGGCAGAACTCAAAAGCAAACTCAAAAAGCCTGTTCAGGAGTAATAATATATTTTCAGATGCATTCTTCACCCGTTTTTATTTGTCTTATTCAAGCACTATGCAGCCTGGTAAATATTATGGAAAGTTATTCTAACTCCTCAGCTGCCGCACAACATTTCATTTTACTTCCACTATTTTGTTTGCTTCTATCTTAAGAATCTAAACTGCGCACAGACATTTCTCATGCATTTTTCTTAAGAGTTTAACTGAGTATGTATTTATATTTGAAGGGGGGGAAAGTATAAGGGAAATGATTACATACTAAATATCAATAAACATTTTTGCACTTTTTTGCAGCACTTAAACTTTGACTGTAGTTCAAACTGTCATATCCAGTGTTTATCACTAGGGGGCAGCAGAGAATCACTGCTGGACGACTGCTGTCGTTTCGCCACTAGAGGGCAGAACAGAGTCGCTGGCTGTCATATCACATTTAAAACTATTTTATTGCTATTTGTTATTGTTATATTGTATATTTCTTTTTCTTTTTCTTGCCATTTCTTTCTATGTGTATAATTATTTGGCAATATTGTATGTAAACAATCATGGCAATAAAGTATTTTGAATTGAATATATCACTTCGCCACTAGGGGGCATAACAGAGTCGCTGGTTGTCATATGTTTATACGCCACTAGAGGACAGTAGTAAGCCGCTCGCTGTTACATATCACTCCGCCACTAGAGGGCAGAAGACGGTCGTTGGCTGTAATATGTCAATGCGCCACTAGGGGCAGCAGACAGCCATTGGCTGTAATATGTCAATGCGCCACTAGGGGCAGCAGACAGCCATTGGCTCTAATGTGTCAATGCGCCACTAGGGGCAGCAGACAGCCATTGGCTCTAACTAGGGGCAGCAGACAGCCATTGGCTGTAATATGTCAATGCGCCACTAGGGGCAGCAGACAGCCATTGGCTCTAACATGTCAATGCGCCACTAGGGGCAGCAGACAGCCGTTGGCTGTAATATGTCAATGCGCCACTAGGGGCAGCAGACAGCCATTGGCTCTAATGTGTCAATGCGCCACTAGGGGCAGCAGACAGCCATTGGCTCTAATATGTCAATGCGCCACTAGGGGCAGCAGACAGCCATTGGCTGTAATATGTCAATGCGCCACTAGGGGCAGCAGACAGCCGTTGGCTGTAATATATCAATGCGCCACTAGGGGCAGCAGACAGCCGTTGGCTGTAATATATCAATGCGCCACTAGGGGCAGCAGACAGCCGTTGGCTGTAATATATCAATGCGCCACTAGGGGCAGCAGACAGCCGTTGGCTGTAATATATCAATGCGCCACTAGGGGCAGCAGACAGCCGTTGGCTGTAATATATCAATGCGCCACTAGGGGCAGCAGACAGCCGTTGGCTGTAATATATCAATGCGCCACTAGGGGCAGCAGACAGCCGTTGGCTGTAATATATCAATGCGCCACTAGGGGCAGCAGACAGCCGTTGGCTGTAATATATCAATGCGCCACTAGGGGCAGCAGACAGCCGTTGGCTGTAATATATCAATGCGCCACTAGGGGCAGCAGAGAGCCGTTGGCTGTAATATGTCAATGCGCCACTAGGGGCAGCAGACAGCCGTTGGCGGTCACATATGTATGGCTTTCCAAAAGGGAGGCGCTTGACGCCGGTAGAGGCTGGTGGGAGAAAAAGACCGACGAACCGGGTGGAAGCCCTAAAAAGCGAACTGACGTTATACTCCTTAAATTGCTCTATTAAGTCTATCTGGAGTGACTAAAGGTACGTTTCACCCGTATATTTCTTGAACTCTGTTGTGGTTTAAGCGGTGAAGAAGCGTAAACTGGCCGTGTATTTGTCTAAGGCAGATGAGCTGGTTTTTCCGGCCTTTAGCTTTCAGGCTAGCTAGCGCTGCTAATTCAGGGTTGATTCGTCTGTGGCTGGACATTGAGGTCGAGTTTGACATCAGGACTCTTGACATCGTGGGGATTGATAAATGTCGGTGGTGTGTTTGTTAGTGTTAGTCGTCTAGAAGTTATTAAATTCGTCAGTAAGTTTTCAGGAAAGTTGTGGCAGTCTAATTCACCGTCACGTTGGGTACGCGAACTGAGCGAAGTACGTTACGTTCGTTTTTACGTTTAACGTAGTTCCTTGTGAAACAATACATTTGACCGCGTATTGACATAGGAAGACTTCTAAAATGATGTTTTAGCTTTTATTGTAACACGAGTTGGCGACACAAGATTGAACTGTCATCCTAATTTGAAGTTATCTTACCAGCGTTAGACTTGGATCGTTTTAAACGTCTGCCGCTGTTTGAGTTGTTTAACTTGATTAACTACTGTTTCTCTACCGAAGGCCAGAGACCTCATCCACTGGGTTTTAGGCTGTTGTGCTTAATTTGCATACATACTATGACGTTGTTAATCAGAAGTCATAAATATTCATATTTTACTTAATTCTAATTAAACATTTGTCACTGGTTTCAGAAAGCCGTTGTATTTAAAGAAAAAGATTAACCATTAAAATGACTGTGTAAAACATGAATGCACAAACTGTTTTTTTTATTATTATTATTATTATAATTGTTTATTATTAATGCCATAACCAAGAACAATACGATAAGAATCATCCATTGCAAAACAGAAAAGAAAAAAAATATGGGTATACAACAATAACAAAAATACAAGTAAATAATATTCCAAGGAAAAATAAAATGTTACGCTACAATGTCATATTTACATACAATGTTATATGTTCTAATTGCCTTTTTACTTGTGCAGTTTTGTAAAACATTACAGTAAAGCTTGAATTAAAGTGAGAAAAATTTGGTTTGGAGTCTGAACATTTCATTTTATGAATATGAAACTTTCCCATGTATTTTAATAACTGTACAAGATACACTCTAAAAAAGGCTGGGTTAGATACAACCCAGTGCTGGGTAAAATAGGGACAAACCCAGCAATTGGGCTGTTTTGACCCAGCAGTTGGGTTACTACCCAGAAGGTTGGGTTAAACATTTAACCCAACCGCTGGGTCAAAACAACCCAATTGCTGGGTTTGTCCCTATTTTACCCAGCACTGGGTTGTATTCAACCCAGCATTTTTTAGAGTGTAATGCTTTATCTTTATCAATATCATGATTATTAAAATATATTAATCTGTTAGGACCACTCAGCTGTAAAGCAATGTGCAATATCTTCTTAATTAAATGTTCCATATCAGTCCAGAATATTTTTGTATATAAGCAATGAAAAATAGTTTCTTTTACTGGGTATATTCGATGCATTATATTAAAAGAAACTTCTTTTGGTTTGTTATTAATGTAAAATGTATCCACTGTTCGCCAAGCTTTATGCCAATTCAAGTCACCAAACACGGAAGACCATAAAAAACGAGCTGGAGGATAAACGGTGTTATTAAGTATATTTCTAATATAGTCGTTTGAGACTCTGTTTTGTATAATATTTCTGTTACCAATTAATATTTTACTCTTGATATCTGCGAGATTTTAATCTTTCTCCTGAGATGTATTGTTGAGAAGAATCTGTACACGCAAACTGTTTTTGTGGGTCTTTCTGCTTCATGACGTTATAATGATAATGTGACGTCATTTGAGTTGACTAATGGTTTACTCGGTGTGTAATGCCAAAATAACTTTAATCAGACAGGTTTTCTATTATGATCAGAAGGTTTTGAAAGTAAAAATCCCATTTATTTTCTCTATAAGGGAGTTGATTTTTAAGGCCTGCTGTAATATGGTTTTGTTGAAGCCGTCGGTCCTTTTTTTTTTTTCAACTAATTTTTTTAATAATCATGTATAACAGTAGAATTCCTGGTAGAAACTACAATACCCATGATTCTGCAAAGTAATCTCTCCGCCAATCAGGGAATTGATAAGGCAGTTCAAGCCAAAATATCTCGTTAGCGCCCACCCACTATCATGAGGCACCACGAATGACGTCATCTACGCTCTCAAACGATTTTGCAATGGACATAAAATGTTGTTTCTATATTCACAATACTTTCCTCAAGCGTGTGATGGAAATGTTACGGCCCTTACCATATTCTGATGCCTGCGGCAACCACACGTGACGACCCCGGGCTGGACTCCGCTTCGTCCACGGTGAAAGCCGATCCGGCGATCCACAGCGCAAAGTTTATTCCTCAGCGACCAGCACAGATCAGCTCTAGGCATGACGAAGCGGATATCGTCCTCTTTTGGAAGACCAAACGAAGTAGTTTCGCTTTCACAACGAATCACACAGCGTCTCCACGACATGGCGGCGGCAACAACAATACTACAGCGAGAATAAAAGTCACGCCTTCTTTCTTTGCGTGAACATTTGGGCGGCATTATGCAAATCTTCCCACATAGTGATGTAGATATGTGGGGCCGTGTTAGAACGAGGCGTTTTAGGTAGGTGTGGCTGACTTTTATACTTTTTTAACTTTTATAAAGAATATCTCTTTGGATTTGAGACTTTAGTCTTTGCAACTTTACAGATCTTCTTTATGCACAAAGAGCTTGGAACACTCCAAAGAGAAAGGAAAACTTGAAATCGCATCATATGACCCCTTTAAGTTCAGTCTTCAATTTGTACAAACAGAAACTTGGTGAGCAGTTGAGACTTGTTTCAGAAACATTATTTGAAAACCTTTGACTGGTAATGTGTGTGGGATATACAGTGTGTACTGTTGCACTTTATGATGCTTTCTCGGGCTGTTTTGCCTTATCTTTAATGATGAGGCAAAACTTTAGTTATCTTTGCATGGTTAAATTTGAATAAGACAAATACATAGTATAGTAAATGTTGACTATATTAAAATGTCTTTTCTTTTTTTCTTTACTCCGAACAGGTTGTTGTGCCCAGATTCGACCCCACCACCTCTCCACGTCTCTTCATCTGGTGTGTGTGTGTGTCTGTGTTTGGATAGCACAGAGAGAGATTGTTAGTCCTACAGTAGCGGTATTCACTGGTTTCTCCAGACGGTCTCTCAGAGATCCACCATGGGTGACATGAGTGATCTGGACAGGCAGATCGACCAGCTGAGGAGGTGTGAGCTCATCAAGGAGAATGAGGTCAAAGCCCTGTGTGCCAAAGCCAGGTGATTACAACCAACAGAAAGCCAATTAGTAGCTTTTAAAAGCATTTTACTGTTGATCATATGCTCATACAACACTAATGTGTGATTCCAGAGAGATTCTTGTAGAAGAGAGTAACGTACAGAGGGTGGACTCTCCGGTAACAGTAAGTATTGAGAAACTGAGCATAGAGGAGACAGAAAAGAAGAGATTTTTAAAGAATGTTGGTAACCAAACAGTTTTGGTGACCATTTTTTAGATATTTTGACATTTTTCTCAAAAGATCATCTTTAAAATGATAATGAACCATTTCTTTGATCGTGTTTATGGGAAGTTAATAGCTCTGTCTTTTCTTCAGGTGTGTGGTGACATCCATGGGCAGTTTTATGACTTGAAGGAATTGTTTAGGGTATGTCTGAGTTCTTTCACACAAAAAGTCAATCCAAAATGATGTTTTAATTTTTTTTTGTATCCAGTGGTAGTGCTGGGCGGTATGACCAAAAATTTATTTCATGGTA